AATCAAAGTCACCATCGACATCCGTATCCGATGACTCGCTATCTAGAACAAGACCTTCATCACGCTCTTCCTCAGAACTATCCGTACGCCAAGATGGATCGTACATGTCGTTGGCTGGAACCGCTTCATACAAAATTTCTTGGGTTGGTGGTGCAAGCGTTGGGGACGCGACCTCAACTTCCAGATTAACATCGGGCACCATGTTTATGTCGATGATGTCAGTGCATGGATTGCTCGGTTGACTGCTGGATTGTCCACCGTAGTTGACTTCTGCATACAATTCAATAAATCTTGACTCGCCGTGTTCAGAAGTGCTTGCATCTACTACTAACGTTACATCTTCATCGTCGACAATTTCCACACCAACCCATTGCACCGGGTTACCCGAGGCACATCTAGCGGTCAACCGAGCAAGAGTTTGACCACGTTCTAATCTTAACTTCTTGTATATTAACTTCTTCAGCTCGTGAAGATTGCATCTTGGGCTCATGCGAAACATTTTTGCATCACCTTCAAACACTTGCCCGTTTGGACCAAAGTATTTTCTTCCATTATAATAAACAGTTGCTATTAAATCATTCCTACCCTCACTCATCCTACAAAAATAGAAAAAAAACTAAGATTCAACAACAACACAAAAGTAGTAAACCTTAACATAAAAGGAAAAATATGGCACTGGTAGTTCATACCCGAAATGGAGTAATTTATAGCTCATAATTCGCTAGGGGGGTAGCAAATTAAGTATCATAATTTCGTTGTACCCCCTAGCGAATTAGTGGGGAGATGACACTTGGCAGATATTACATATTTCGCTACCAGTCATGCCAAAAATAACCACATAATTCGCTACCTAGTACAACGAATTATGTGGGGAAGTGACACGTGGCCTGACTTTGAGTTGACATGAACTGACCCTTCTGCTGCATAATTTGCTATACAGGGTAGCGAATTACGTGTCCAACAGGGGTGTGCCACGTGTCCAAAAGGTGCCTGGCAGGGCTGACCTTTTGACCACGTATTTCGCTACCCTGTGTAGCGAAATACGTGGACCACTGAGGACGTGACACATCATCAGGCCTAATTCGCTGCACTGTGTAGCGAATTAGCCTGCGAGGCAGTTTGGGAATTTTTACTGTGCGCGTGGCATTCTGGTAAATTTTATGATGAACAGTGGCAAATTGGTCACTGTTTTGAAATATGTGTGGTCTTCAATGAGTAAATGATTCCAAAGCAAAGACCAAACTTTCTATCCAAAAAAGCATAATATGATTCTAAAAACCACCAACATGTTGACAATGGAATACTACCTTCACTACGGAGCCGTGTGGTGAGCACAGAGCGAACTATTCTTTCGCCTTTTACTAAAGAATACTACTTTCACTCAGTATTATAATCCATCCACTGCACTTGTGGTTTTCCTCCTTAACTTTCCTAAAACTTTGGTGAATATAATTGAAACTATGCAAAAAGGGAATACCAATGGACGCTTATGCGTAAAGGTGGCTTTTAAAAGGAAATCTATCAAAAACTACATAAAGGCTTGGCTTTGAGAAAATCATCGATTAATCAGGAAGAATAATAGCATAAAGAGGACCAAAACCAGAGAAAAAAAATACGAGAGTCAAAACAACATACCTTGGCTCTGAGTAAAAAGTTAGTAAATAATGTGAGAGATATTTTAGTAGAGAAATTTCAATAAATCTCAGGAATTATTATGAGATTGTGATAGAGGCAAATTATTAAAAAGTCTCACAAAATTCACAATAATAAAAAATTCATTAAAATAGTCAAATTTTTGAATATCACAATATTGCTTTTTATTTGTTTAAAATCTTAATTGAATACCACCGGATTTGGATAGATTCTAAAATAGTCTTTTAAAATCCTAATCGAATATCACATGACTTTTCTATAATCCTTTAAAATCCTAATTGAATACTAATGTATTTTTTGTCCAAAAATAATTCTTTAAAATTTCAATCCAATACACCCTAAGATTTTAAAAGATTTTTATCTAAATTTTTTTTAAAAAAATTAATAAATTTATAACGATGATATGGATTTACAAAACTGTTATAAAAAAAACTCCTTCCATAATTAAGATATGATAAAATTGAATTTTAAATGAATTTAATATAATTGGTAAGATTAAAAACGATAATACGAATTTACAAGATTTTAAAAAAACTAATACATTTTTTTAATTTCATAGCAATTTGATATAATTTCATGGCCCCATAAGCATCATCTCTCCATATTTTTGAAGTTATGCTAGTCTTCCGAGTATTAGGATCTTCTTGTTTCTATTTTTGGGTTTGAAAAATTGGTTGAAACTTTATGGCCTCCTAACACCTCACTTTCTTTTTGTTTCTGAGTATGTTTTGCACTTCATTTTTTATTTTATTTTTTGTGTTTGCAATTCTTATCTTTTTTTTTTTTTTTGAAATAAACAATTCTTATCTTCTTGGCCTCCTAACACCTCAATTTTTTTTCTTTTTTTGTTCATTGTTTTTTACTTTCGATTTTTTTTTTACCCGCGGCCCCAAAACCATGTCAATTGTCACTCTTCCATGAAGTTTGGATTTTTTTTAATTTTTTTTTTAGATATTTCAATCAGTTCATTGCTTCTGACTAATTTGATTCGGAGTTAGTTCCGGAATTAAGACTTTAAATTCTTCCTAAAGTCGGTACTAGAAAAGATCATACAGATGCTTTCACCCTACCCCCTCCTGCTCAGTTATCTAGCATCAATTGAGCTACTCCTTTGATTCTTTAACCTCTTTGAAATAGAAATAACAATATCTATTTATATTTCTTTTTTCTGTTAGAGGGTTGCGGGAAAAAGTCAGCATTCTACTTGCTAAAAGAACTAAGGGGGCGTTTGGTATGCAGTATTTTTCAGGATTTTCGAGAAATTGAATTTTTCTAAAATTTTAATTTTGGAATATTATCGTAAACTGAATGTAAAATTATATTTCTGAAAATTAAAATTTCCGGATAGAAAAAAATTTCTCCTGTACCAAACACCTATTAAGAGATATATTGTGACATAAATTCACTAAGCAACAAGCATTCAAATAAAGAGCGTAGAGAGACATAAATAGAGATGTGAGTTTCTTATGAAGAGCTTTCACTTTGAGAAGATGCTAGGCAGCAGTAGAGAAATTCAAGAGCTAGGGTAGGATTGTAAGGCACGATTGATATTTATATCTCCAATAAAAAAATCCTACAAAATCCATATTAATAAGAAATTCATTAAAAGTTTCAGAATTTTTAATACACTTAAGAGTAGGGGTTGGCAAAACTGTATGACCCACTGGTCGACTCACAATATGATATGTTAAATGTCAATCATTAAGATAAAACAAACAGTGTATCAGTTTATATGAATGACATGAATTATTGTCGTGTCATGTCCATAGTTGTTAAAATCTCAATTTATCACTATGATTTTATGTTTTTATGATTTTTTTTTATCAAAATAATTTTACTAATATTTCAAACGCTTTTACATTTTTATGATTTTTTTACGATTTTTTACATTACGATTTTATGTTTTATGATTTTTTAGTTTCCTTCCGATTTTACTTAAAATCTCGATTTTAACAACATTGGTCATGTCAACTCGAAAAATATTTTTGTCCTAAAATGTTTTAAAGAATTGAAGTTTCGATGATTTTGACACAACCTCTTTCGAGCCCGGGATTAATCTGCATATTTTATTCAATTTTTTTCTATTGTTAATGTGAGAATTATCCATAAATAACACCTTCATTACTAAGCAAGGCATATGATCTCTATCTATCGTTACCCTGCCAATTTCATAAGCCCACACTGCAACTCAACACACACACCCCCCACTTACATTGTTGAACATCATATATGGGATCACCGGCGGACCCACATTGGGTCACATGTCCGCAAGTGCGGACACGAGATTTTGCATTTTAATATTTTTTTTTAGTCATGTAGGTTATTATTTATCTCTTAGTTCAATATTTATTGTAGGAGTAAATATCATTTTAAGTTCCTAACAAAAAATATGGTCCCCATTTTAGTTCCTTACTAAAAATTAGTCTCAAGGAGGTTTCTAAGAAATTCAAAGTGGATCAATTTAATTAAAATCATGGTCCATTACAAATTCAAAAAAGACCTATATTAGTTTCAAAAAGACTAAAATAGGTCCACTTTAAATTTTATAGGGACTTGGTGACTATTTTTTTTATAATGGACTAAAGTGGGGACAAATTTTTCGTTAGGGACCAAAAATGATATTTATTCTTATATTAGTTAGCAACGTACGGAGATGATTACAACAACGTAGCAACTCAAATTGATTAGAGAGAAAACTTATTCTTCCTCCCCTGTCACATACCTATCCCCATGATTTCTTCATCATTTGTTATGGAAACAACTAGATTATGAGTGAGTTCAAGCATTAATTTAAACTTCTTTACAAAAAAAAAATTTCGGGGGCAGCACCCCCGAACTCCCGTCACTAAACGTGTAGACATAAAGAAATTTTTCTAGGTCCGCCACTGTCTAGGATGTCATTGTCTAGTTTGATCTCTACTTTTGCCAGTAACGGTACCCTTATAATGACCTTTACCTTTTTCAATGGTACATATTAAGCTTGCAGCTCTCAACGGTACATAAGAGAAGAAATTTTTTCAAAACGAGGTTTTGGATTTGATGAAAAAATACATAATGTTTTGGAAATTTTGCTTATAAATTTTCTTATCTAAAGTAATCTTGTTTTTATCAAACTAATAATTTAGAGAAATTATATAAAAAATAATTAAAAAAAAGTTACGATAAAATGGTATGAGACATCCTCTCTTCTAATATTTGAAGTGTATAATCTGCACGAGAGTTTAAATTTAATTAAATAATTTAAACCATATTTAAATATTATATTACCAATTTCAAATTTTCCACTAAAAGCATCCACTCTCCACCCATACACGAGTTGAAATTTGAGCTATATGTGACGCGTCGAAGTCATTCACACTCCCTTATCTGCTTCTACCTTCGTTCAGCAGAGCTCAAAAATTAGATAGCGCGAAAAAACCCTAACTCGAAATCCATGGAGGTTGTTTTGCAGCCTCTGTGCACCATTATAACCGCCAAAACCTTGAGGTGTAAATGTAAACAACCACTTCTCATTCCACAAATGCCTAATCCTTCTTCTTCAAAACATTTTCCGTTATTTTCTTTCCGCACCACTCTCTCTTCTCCTTCTCGTTTTCCTCCACCACCTGGTAAATTTCTGTGTTTATTTTGTTTCTTCCTTATTCAATGAATTTCGTTGGTATTTATTTTCAACTCCTCATTTTTACTTAATTTATTTTTAAATTTTGTCTTATCTTCTGATCTGAGAATAGATTTGTCTGTTTCTGGATTTTCCGGTAGTTTTGTCTGCGACGCCGGAGAATCAATTGAGCAGCGTTGGGGAAGGGGAGGACGCCGATACAAGAGAATTGCAATTACAAGGTACTTTATGTCTTTAGTTAAACAATAAGCTAGAAACTATAGCTTAACTTCATTTGAGGTGTTTTTAGTATAGTTTAGGGGAAATGATGTGATATTTTCATTCATACATCAAGCATAGGACGTGACTTGATGATAGTAATCTTTAGGATAACACTAAAATTCAAGTAACCCTATCCAATTATAGGTCAATTGCAGAACTCCTATGGTTTATCCCTTTCCATCATAAAATATCTAAACAATGGTATAGTAAGTTCATTCCACCCCATTCCATTCCATCCTATCCCTTTCCATTTCATTCCACCCATCATTAGGTATCTAAACATAGCCTAAAGGAATGACATAGTCAGATACACAGAGAGACTACAGGCCAATCTCTTATTAATATTTGTAGTTCCTTGTGTTTTTTTGCTTTTCCAAATCATTGTAATCTAAAATTTTAATTTGTAATTGAATAAGTACATTTGTACATTGGCATTGTCTTATGGACTTCTTTAGGTCTAAGTCATTTGACACTTTCCAGTTTCCCTCCAGCTTTTCTATGACCATACACTGATCATAATGCATGGATGTGTTTAATCAGAGAAAAGTTTATAGAATTAATTCTGGATCAGTTGTTATAATGTAGTGCATCACTTGGTGTTATTTTGCAGATTTTTATTCCCTGAGGAAAGATGTTGAAATTACATCACAGCGTGTTGAAGAGATTAGAGAATCTTCTGGTCTACAGCTGTTGGAGCAAGAAATTTCCAATTTAGAGGAGAAAGCAGCTGCTAGTTCCTTTTGGGACAATCGAGCCAAAGCTCAAGAGACTCTTTCGACCTTGGCTGATGTCAAAGATAAGATAAAATTGCTCACTGAGTTCAAAACCCAGGTTAGATATAATTCTTATCAATTTCCAACAATTATTTTAGGAAAAATTACATTAAGAACCAATATGTAGTTGAAAATACAGGAAATTTTACTATTTTCAATTACTGATTTGCTGGGTGCAGTATTAAAGGAAAATCATAAGAACTTTATTATAAAAATGTTAGAATAGTTACATTATACTTTAGGCGCATGCAACAAATATATTCACTGTACATGGGGATGTGAATAGGTTAGGCTATGCTTTCCCTAAGTAGGACTAGGCCTGTTTTGCAAGACATCATCATCTTGAGCCTGGCCTGTTACCCGCTGCATGCTTTTTTTGGAGCTTGACCTGGCCTTTTTGCGAAAATATAAAAGCATGGCCTGGCCTGGAACATATTTAGGGGCTTACATTCCTTCAATTAATGCTAAGAAACTTGAACTTTTTAGTTTTAATCTATAGGCCATAATTAATAAATGACATAATAACCTTTAATAAAATTGTTAATTCTCTATAAAATTAATATGTTATATTTCTCTATAATTAATAGGAGAGAGATCATTTGACTCCAGAGTAACACTTATAAGTCTTACTCCCCATCTTAGCCGTTGATTTCCGTCCATCCAACGGTTATAGTTTAGGAAGTTATATTAATTATTAATTACACTATAAATGACAACCGTTGATTTCCGTCCATCAACGGCTGGGATGGGGAGTAAGATTTAAAAGTCTTACTCTGGAGTCAAAAGAACCCTCCCCTAATTAATAAACTATGTAAGTACTATAAATTAAAGGTTTTTTAAAGACCTAGGCCATAGCATACTTAATTAAACAGGCCTTTCTAAAGCCCATGCCTGGCTTGTGTCAGGACAGAAGGGTAGTTGCTTGGAAGAATAAAAGGAAGACAGTGTAGTTAGTTTAGACAGATAGAACAGTCAGTTAGAGAGAATTAGTAAGTTAAATAAATATGGGGAAATAAGGGTAGGAGAGGGGATTATATGTCTATGTAGACTAATTACTCACATAATTCCAGCCAAAGAGATTCACTCTTTTTAAAAAAAAATTATAATAGGATGGAAAGGGAGCATGTACATCTTGGGGAAGGAGAAAACCTCCTGAAAAAGAAGAGCCAATGGGCCTAAAAAAATGCACTCAAGCTGTCTGGTTTATTCATATGTCAGTAATAATAAGACTTGTAATCTGTGGTTAGACACAATTTGTGGGTTTTGACTGTTGATATGACAGCAATTCAGGATTACTTGCACATATTGGAGTGATAATATTTAAATTTATGGATATGGGGTGTAGCATTTGAGACTTAAATGTTTGGAAATGGTAGTATAAAGGTTGAGAATTCTATGTAACTGATATATTGATCTAATTCGAATTAATTATCCTAGTTGTTGATATAAAGAAAATAAAAATCAAAAGGAAACTAAGTAACTAACCCACTTGCCAACTGGTGAAAAGGAAACTAACCTATCTGCGGACTTGGTTTTATAAACATGGCTTGCTTAACATTCATGATGCATGAGTGGTGTACACCAGATCTTTTTCTCTCTTAAGGATTCATTGACCACATGTTGAATTGAGTGTCTCCACTTCTTCTCTTGTATTAATCAAGCTTTGTGCCAATATGGACCTTCATCACAATGAATATAGGTCGAGGATGCAGAAACAATAGTTAAGCTGACTGAGGAAATGGAATCCATTGATAGAGGGCTTTTTGAGGAGGCTGCTAGTCTTATTAAAGAACTGAATAAATCACTAGATCGATTTGAGCTGACTCAACTTCTTTCTGGTCCTTACGATAAAGAAGGTGCTGTTATCTCTATTACAGCGGGTGCTGGAGGTACTGATGCACAGGTAAATAGCTATCTATGTACAGATGCTACATCAATCAACTTGTTTCTCTCATTGTTAGTCTTCGTTGAACACTTAGTCTGATATATTGTGCTGATAGATGACTAGAACTTGTATGCCAACAAAATCTAGAACTTATCTTTTTCATCATCCTGAGTAAATATTCTCTGCAGTTGTGACTTTAGAATACCGCCTCTATGTCTCAACATTGTTAACCTTCCTGGCTTTCAGGAATATTTTTGTTCATCTCTACTGAAGTATTGACAAATAAAGAGTCATATGCAATCAAATCTGGACAAGCATTCCCCTAATGTGTGGGGTGTGGGTTTATTAAGCATTTAATATTCTGCCATTTAGGAATTTAGTCATATGTGGGCTTTGTTTTGCTGATTTTTATTTTCCAAACCATGATAAAGGGGCCTGCCCTGTGTAGTCTGGGAGATGCAACTTATCTATCTTTCCAGTTCCTTTTTCTACTTGTGTTTTCCTTGGAATTTGAGTACCTGATGGTGATTCTGAGTATTCAGTTTCAACTTCTGTACAAAATTATCATTTCCAGTGCAGGATTGGGCGGACATGCTTCTTAGGATGTACGTGAGATGGGGTGAGAAACAGAGATACAAGACCCGAGTGGTTGAGAAATCCCCTGGAGAAGAAGCTGGAATTAAATCTGCCACCATCGAAATTGAAGGTCGTTATGCTTATGGGTATTTGTCTGGGGAGAAAGGAACACATCGCATTGTTCGGCAATCTCCTTTTAATGCCAAAGGTCTCCGTCAGGTAATAACCAACTTTTTTGGGTAGCTGAATGTCAGATTGCAAGATCAGGCCCCAAAGAACAAAAACCCAAAGAAAAGTGGCATCAGAGTGCATAACAATGATGTCCATGAATCCCAATTTTTTTTTTAATGTACATGGTCATTTACTACAGATTTGCCATTGGGTGGCGATGGATTGTTAAATTCTATTTCTCTCCCTTTAATTGTCAAATACATCAAATTTTCTTTTAAATTACAAGGTTTTAATATTTAAACAGACAAGCTTTTCTGGTGTTGAAGTCATGCCTCTTCTTCCAGAAGAATCTATGAATGTTGAAATTCCTGAGGAGGATCTGGAAATTAGTTTTTCAAGAGCAGGTGGAAAAGGAGGTCAGAATGTGAACAAGGTTGAAACTGCAGTTCGGATGACACACATCCCAACTGGTGTCACTGTTCGCTGCACAGGTTTTTTTTTTTTCCTCCTTTGGCACTTACTTAATCCCACTAAAGTAAACTTATCTTGTTCCATCATGAAATTGGTTTTTTACATGACTGTGAAGTCCTCTTCCATGTTTCTGCTGCTTCTTTGCAGCAAATATTTTCTTTTCTTTTCTTTTTTTGGTTTGGGGGTTCATAGGGTGCATACCTATTTATTGCTTATTGTGCACTGCTGTTGAAAGGGCTAATTGTGCCATTGCAGCCATGGTTAACTGTGTTGCACAGGTCAATATGCGGGTAGGTTGAACGTAATATTAAATTAATGATGACTCAAAAATATATTTGGTGACAATTTCTCATATTAAGTTGAATGGATCAAAGGTTCAAAAATAAAGCGCAAAATGTTTCTCTTTTCGGAATTCTTATCGCCACTCTAACCCTTACTAGCAATATGACTAGAAGTACTCATTTAGGAAACTAATTTTTATGCACAAAATGGTCTCAACCAAGTGTCAAGTAGGCTATTCTCCACAGTTTTCTTCGTTGTTTGAAACATTAGATATTATTTAAAATTTGAATTTGGAACTGTTTGAGGTGACTTTATGAATTTTCAGCTGCAAGTATTGTGATTTAACTTGGTTCGTGTGATAACATACTTCATTTATCAAGCTGAAATTTGATACCGGTGTTAAAGGATCCTACCTTTTATATATATATATATATATATATGTGGAATACATTAGGTGCTTTTTAATGGTAATTTCAGCTTGATATTTGGCTAGGACTATATAGGGAAGAAATCAGAGGATCCATATGTTGTATTATTATTATTTTTTGTCAAAATTTATGAGAGCCGCTTCTCTTGTACTATTTTTATTCTGGATCCAATTCAATAATCTAGTTTTTAATTGCAAAGTGTTAACTTCAAACGACCATTGTGCAGAGGAGAGATCCCAACTAGCAAATAAGATAAAGGCCTTAAGCCGTTTGAAAGCCAAGCTGTTGGTGATAGCTGTAGAGCAACGTGCATCTGAAATTAAGCAGATTCGGGGAGAAGCAGTCAAAGCTGAATGGGGACAACAAATAAGGAACTATGTATTCCATCCGTACAAACTAGTAAAAGATGTAAGAACGGGGTATGACACGCCAGATATCACCTCTGTTATGGATGGCGAGTTAGACCCTTTCATCAAATCTTACCTCAGACACAAGTACAGTATGACACTGTCTGCAAGTGGGGTCAACTAATATCTTCTATTTTAGTCACGGGTCCTTGCTCCCCCGAAGTGAGGTATAGTTAGGTTGTTGTATTAGTGGACCTATGTATCGCATTACAATGTGAAATTAAGGAGACAATTTAAGTTGTTGCCACTGGTTCCTATTAGTTATCCATTTATAATTTTAATCGCTGATTTTTACTAAATCAACTGTTGATGTCACCTTGAAACTGGGTGGCTTATAAAATAGAAGATAATGCTGGTTAGCATCTGCAGATCTTTCATTTAAAGCCTGTGATTTGTAGAATTTGGGAGGATCACCTGTCATTTTTCCTGACCTTATCCCTGCATTATCCCAATTTTATCCAGCTCTCTTTTCCATTTTCAATCTCTGAAATATATCGTGTCAATCTTACCTTTAAGAATCACTAGTTTATGTTCAGATTTGTTATTTTGCATTTTAAAAGTAATGTGGAGTTTAGTTTATGGAAGTAGAGGCGCCTATTGGAATTTTTTAAACCTTCATTGTTCAATTTGAAATTCCAAATACCGTATCTTGTCAATTGTCAGATAAGGTGTTATTCAGTTTGATAGATAACCTTCAACTAAATTATATTTGATACAAGTCCTTGAAAAACAAGCACAAATGAGGATCACGATGCCTTCTTTTTTCCCAGCAGTAGACTCAAAGAATAAGTATTTCCTTTCTGTGCAGCAGCTTCTACTCGATTTTTGCCAACCTATCAGTCATTTATATAAACTATCAATATGTAAAAACTAGGTATTGTAACTGATGTCCAATGTAAGTACATGATAAACAAAAAAATGTTAAAAGACTGACAAAATGCATATTAAACAGATGGCAAATACCTTGTCCATGAGCCAATAACCAATCGATGGCATGTACTGAACAAGATACATGACAAGCAGCACAGGCTGCAAAAGAGGTCAGTTTGATCAAGGACCAAAGTTGCATGCTGGAAATTATAATTCTTGCTAATTGAAAGAATCACCAACACAAACAGTATACCCACCACAAAGCGTGCATATGCATACCAATTAGCCTATCTATCAGGAGCAGCCGAATGCTAAAATCCAACATTTTTTTTTTAAAGTAGATAAATGCAACAAATTTTTAAATTTGTCAAAACATTCAATCTTCTGGGTGAGTGAACATAAACTCTTACGCTTCGTAAAGCAGGAAAAGATATTCCCAGCGTCATACTTGAATTCATGATGTTACAAGTTAACAACGATCCAGTATTTTCATGTCAATTACACAATTATACAGACGATTGCATAAACAAGGTAACATACAATCAAAGTAAACATACTTAATGATACATTATAAGGACAATGTTTAATCTCAATTGAAAGGAGAAGGTGGCAGCAAGTCACGTAAAAAGGGAGTAGTTAAATCGAAAAGGTAACCAAAAGCAAGCATCAAGCAGATTCGCTATATGAAATAATAACTTGTTAAACCCTCACCCTCCTTGATTCGCTCTCTCTTCCTAACACAAATACCATCATGATCTTAAACAAGAGATAAGGAGGCACAAAAGTTGAATAGTGGAGGAGCATTCGAACAGAAGTGAATTGCTAATACCAATGCTTTTACCTGATTTGATATCCAAACTTCCTTTAAGCCATGGGTTGCAGCAATAATAGTCAGCTCTGCACACCTTTCCGACGACAAACGCTTCTGTCACAGAATGCAATGCAAGAAAACGAACTTTCAATGTTTAATATAATGTATCCAGTGCAACACCACACGACAGGGAAGAATATACTGTATAGTCCAGGATCCTGCCCTATACTGCTTCTCCGCAATCAATATTTCATTTCCTTTTCGCAATAAAATTAGATATTTTTATGTATTTTAGTTTTGTTTTCATTTAGCAAACATGAGATCAGCAATCCATATTCATAGTTTTATAATAATAATCGAACATGTGCCAACTATATCAAAAGAAAAAATCTGAAGTAAAATTATGTACATCAACTTTAGCTAACAGGTACAATGAAAACAATTTTCTTCATTCTTGCAAAACATAGAAAATAGTAATGTATCTTGATTTAGCACTCTCAGTGGACTAGAAGTTTCTAAAGATACCTGTACTATGTACATCGCAGGAAGAAAGTAAAGAAAAAACAGACTCAAGCTGTGTCTTTCTTTACATTAGTAATGGATGATAAATTAGCAAAGAAATATACCTCAGATGAAACGTTCACTTCAGAGTTTTTTGATGTTTCTATTGGACCAGGACAGACAACAGTTACCCCGATTCCTTTCTGACAAAGCTGCCACCATAAAATGGTTAGTAATGCATGATATGTACTGTATGATAATTAGAATAAAATGTCTTTGGAGGAAAACTATGTATTTTATCTTCCAGTTATATAGTATAGTATGGTTTATCGCGGTGAGTTGCTTACCATTTTACCAAAGATAATAAACACTATCAACATACCTCCGAACGCAAGGTATGGAAGTACCCATTCAGAGCATATTTAGAAGCGGAGTATACAGCCTGACCTGGGGCAGGTGTCTTTCCTGCTGCACTGCTCATCTGATAGTAAACAAAGAACAAAAGATTATCAATTTATGAACGGGAAATGGGGTTCAAAGCAATATCAAATAAGCTCTCCAAAATTAGGAGTCACACACACACACACACACAAAGCAATATCAAATAAGCTCTCCAAAATTAGGAGTCACACAGATATATATATATATATGGGCCAGGATACATATGGGCCAGGATCATTTTACACCAGTGTAAGTTATAATCTTAATCTTGACTGAAGTTACACTTAATCTTGACTGTTGATTTCACTTTTATTTAATGGCTATAATTTTCTAGTTATATGAGCCATTGGATACAAGTGAATCAACAATCACTTCTTATTTCTTATTTATTTTTGCTTAATCTGTTCTTGCTTTTATATGGGTTCACCAACAGCCGACCCCAACTAATTTGTGATAAATTTGATATTGATGTTGATGATAGTTATAAACATAGCTAGAAATTAGTGCACCTAAAACATAAAACACATGCCAATATATTTTAACCAAACAATTAAAATTATGATTGCCCATTCAAGGATAAAAAGTATTTGAAAACCCGACTAGTGACAAAAATTCAGTAACAAACATCTTCCTGCAAGCTCCATGCTCCACATGATATAGTTTCTAACCACATTGCTATCCACATTCCGTAACCAAAATAAGATATTACCAAAGAATTCCCACATACCACCACAAAATGACCTCGCCCTCTCTTCAACATGAAAGGTGCCAAAAGCCTTGTGAGAGTTATTGTCCCCAGAACATTAACATCAAATGTTGCCTAATCAGGAGAGAAGAGCAACATAAAATTTCAGAAGGCTACTTTCAGTGTTTTGAAAGAAGACTAAAAAGGCAAAAAGAAAAACACTTTTCAAAGCCTTCGTAAATAAGCAGCAGGAGTAAGAGATACCTTAAGACCTTCCTCAGTTACATCTATAGCCGATGTTTTCTGCGAAACAAAATAATTAATTTCATAATACCTTTAATTAAAGAAGCATATTATAAATAAAGAATCATTAAAATAGATCAGTGAAGAGAAATTTCATCAACTCTCCAAAGCATCATCACTATATCGTCCTGGCAGGTAATGATATGCAAGCATCTCATCGCATTTTCTCAAATCCGGTGTTCTGTTAATAAAGATACTTGCTACAAATCCACCAACATGCAAGTACACTCAAAATTATCACATTTGAAGTAATTCTACTATCCTATAATTGTGATTAAAACACTAAAAGAGATATATGAAACAATGCTAAAGATATAAAAATGAACTCTCTCTCTCTCTCTCTCTCTCTCTCTCTATATATATATATATATATATATATATATATATATATGTTGATGCCCTGTATAACGACTAATAATGTTGTCTGCATATTGTATATCCTGATTAAAAGGAGGACACAACAATTCCACTTTTTTTTCTTTCTCTTGTTTTACATTTACAGGTGTACCTTCTAATATAACGAGCAAGCACATATTTGTTTTGTCTCCAGATGCAATTTCTGAATTATGAAATCTAGCTATTAGATAAAGCAATCAGTCACTTACCGGACGCTCAAAAGCTGCATTATGGATCATGTAATTAACACCAGAATCTGGAAAAAAAGATTCTGCTTTCTCAACAGCCTTCCGAAGAGAATCTTCTCCAGATGTTAAATCCATTGGTAAAATCTTGACTTCAACCGGTGCATGCTTACCTGGTGGTGCGCAAATCACATATTAATAGAGCACAGCACGAGTCCACATCATTATTTGTACACAGACATAAGTCATAAAATGAGTTATTTAAACCTTACATGCGGCTATACATAATAGAATATACCTTTCAGCTGTGTCCTTACTTGGTTCAGTTCAGCTTCATTCCTTGCAGAGATTATTAGCTTGGCCCCTAAACTTGCAAGCTGTTTAGCTAGAATCTCCCCTTCATATACATCATTGAATAGAAAAAATAGAAGAGAAAAAGGAATTAGTTATGCAAACAAAATTAGTCACAAAATAAGGAAAATGTTCTGGATGTACAAAGGAATCTTTCAATATTTAGAGGAGAATTTAAGCACAAAGGAACCCTGAAATAAAATCAAATAAACAACTGAACTCAAAACCGGTATTGCATGATTAATTAGATCAAGACACTTGTTCAAAGTCGACCATTAACAGAATTAAGCTGGAAACGGAAGGGCAAGACATAAAGAATTGAACTTGAATTGCATTAACTGTCCTTAATCAAATTCATCCAAAGTTAATTACTTTCTTTCATTCACTTATCAAAGTGATATCTGGGTGAATTTGAATTTGATGTAAGCCCAATGTTACATAAACAAATCAATCCTCTAGAAATAGAAGAGTGATACTAAAAGAAGGAATGAAAAAAAGGGTATAGTTATAGTTATAGTTATACCAATTCCACGGCTAGCACCAGTAATCCAGAAAACCTGGAAGGAAATGCAATAAGAGAGTGCAAAGTCATTTATCTATTGACGTAAGAAATGAAACACTAAGTGTGTATGTAGCATAACAAGTCTCGGTTAAAACAAACAACCTTGTCTTCAATTTCATGGCGCTTTGGTTGCTTCTTGGACATCAAAGTGAAATCGCCTAATAAATCAAAAACAAAAGAATGAGAATCGAAAATAAAAAAATTAAAAGAGAGAAAGTAAGAAAGAGGGATGATAGAGTGAAATAAAAAAAAATACCATAAGCGGTGGCGAATTTGAATAAAAATAACAATAAAAGGAACACGCAAATGAACACCACCAACATGGGGTTCTCTCTCTCTCTCTCTCTCTCTCTCTCTGTGTGTGTGTGTCTGTGTTGACAAATCGGTAATTACTGCTTGGTGTTTCTGCTGTTAGCCATTTCTTATTTTCGTTGCTGGTTGTTCCCAGGCATGAAAATGGAATAAACAGGCGTTAATGTCAATATTTGAACGCCTATCGGATTTATTTATTTATTTATTTATTTGGTGAACGCCTATCGGAATTTTATTTAGCTATAAAGAGTAAGTGATTATATATTTATTAATAATATTTTTATGAGGTTTTAGTTTGTCTTTTAATACGACACAAAAAAATTTCCTACACACACAATATTTTGTGGGACCCACACTTTTTAAAGCAAAATAAAAAAAAAAAATTAAGGCACACAAAATGAATCTCTATAACATTACACAATCACTTTTTCTACAATATAACTCTTATAAAACCCTATTTTTATACATACTTTTATGTATCATGGATTCACGGGGATACAAGCAGAAAGTTGGAAGCAGAGAATTAAAAGATTGAGCTGACCTTGGATCACCTGAAATTTATAGCTTATCCTTATTACAAGCTATGAAGCATTGATACTCCTTAAAATTTTTTCCAACAGATCAGATATGCATTTCGGAATGGTATCAACTTCCTATATCAAGAACGTATTATAAACGTATCGAAAATGCCGTGTCAGAATCGGTGCTTCATAGATTACAAGGCCTCTATTTTTGCTGTGGAAGCTCTGATTTTGAGTGATCACCTCATTGGCGAATGCACAACAGTATATATAGGTTGCTCATAGTTTTTGGTTTTTGACAATTTTATTTTGTAGGAGGAAATGAGAAGCTGGTGCTGAGTTTTGTATGTGTGGATTGATCATTGAACATTCTTCCAAAGCGATTATTTTATTTTAGGGTAGAATGAACTTTAACTCACTGGAATCTTAGCCATGCATAAAATAAAGATCTATTTTTTCTTGAATGGAAGACAGGATTTAAACAGATGGTGTCTATGAATTGCTGGTTATGCCATTTGGGTTTTATGATGCTGTGTTTCCGTGCGTCTCATGACTCGTATTGGGAAGCAAAAAGTTCAATATTAAGATATGGCTTTCTTTTCTCGTTTAAAAAAAATCAAAGTAGATGCATCTGATCTCAGAGCTTCATGTGGATAAATTCTAATGTCTTTAATCTAAATTAAGAAAAAAATTATTATTTTTTTATTCCCGAAATTTTTTATATTTTACTTACTATTCGAAGCCATGATAGTTAATTTATGTATAAGCAACTATGATAATGCCTTTAATACTCAAAATAATGTAAAATGGAAGTTATTGTATGACCATGAGGCATAACGGAACCAAAGCATCTTTACCACCTTAATTTACCAACCATCGCTCGTATGACCAGCAATCAAGTTTATCATGTATTCTTTTGCATTCTATTTGTCGACCTTTTCATTATTTGTCTCTTTTTAACTCCAAACCCCAAATTAATGCGAATTTTTTTGCGAAATTTTTTCTAATTTGTTTCGGAAATTAATTCATAACACGTAAATTAGGTAATTGTAAATGATCAATTCCACAATATAACTAGTTTTTCTGATATAAGGGTTTGTAATTTATATATTTTTTATTCTTTAATTATTCATTATTAAATTAGTTGATGTTATTTAGATTATTATATATATCAATAAATGAAAAGACTTTTGTGAGAAACAATTTTGAACTGAATAAGCTAATGAGGTGTAAAATCATGGCAAAAAAATTAATTTAATGCATTTTAATTAAATAATTACGCATTTATTGCAGTTTTGAGAATAATTACGAATTTATTGTACACTGTGACGCCCAAAATGGGCGTCACATGTAACGCCCCAGTGAGGCGTCTCACCCTAAGGGGAAGACGCCCCAATGGGGCGTCTTTCATCTGGTGTCTATTGTGAATTCTAACCCTCAAAGCCCTATAATTTAGATTGGCCAATTCTAAACAGGATATGTAAAAATTAAACCATGTAGAATAAAACAAACTAACTAATTAACTTATAAAATATCAATACAGGAAATATAAAGGATTCACATCGGGTCCGTGATTCCAACTACAAAAACAAATTAGCCAGACATAGCTGGCTTAAACAAATTAAAGAAATAAAAAGAATTCATAAAAGCAATAAAGAAGAAGAATGATCAATGGTCTTCAATCGTCAACTCTGTCGAAATCCTGATCTCCAGCGTGAGACTCCAAGAATTCTCTCCAGCCAAAATGAAGCTTTAAAGTAATGTAATTCTGAATTACCAATTAAGCTTGAAGCTTTAAAAGCAATTTAATAACCGTGATTAAATTTAAATTTCCGTGGTTAAACACCGCATTTCTTGTAGTGGAAAGAGCTAATATTACAAGCAAGAACTTGAGAAAGTAAAAGCATTGGAATGTTTATCTATTAAAGTTATTTGTAGAATTGTAATTCATAAAATCATTATGTACAATCAATTGTCCTTGAGGCTAAGAGTAAAGGGAATAGCAAACATCGAAATCCAGGCATCTAATTTATTGATTATTCGGATACAATGAAGCCGTTCATGTTGTTTGATAAATATGAACTATATGATTCTTGTATAGTAACTGTATGTACAATAGTCTTGACTTATGTACAACTCTTGTCATCTTGCACGACCATGGGGAATCAAATGATAAAAATCCAAAGATAAGACAATATTTAGGTTGACAAGTGCAAACACACACGCACAAAAGCATAAATAGGTGCATACTACACATTTCAGAAATAGTTTTATTACATTTCCATAGTTCTATCCAATTCTATTACAGAATCATAATATCAAATAAGATGAGCCTATAAATTTAACAAGGCAGCTGCTGAGTAGTAGTGGGACGAAGAATCGGATCCAATCGCCTAATCCATTGAGTGATTTGCTGATTGTCATGTAGGGTCATACAGATTTGCTTGTTGTACTTCTCCATCATCAACATTAATGTCCACACAGCAGGTACTATGATCCCAATAACTGGGGAAATCAGTGTGTAAAGAAGATAGGTGGTTGAAATTCCAAACATTAAAATCATAGATGAAAAAATCGGATGCTCGGTTCCCTCTTTTCCAAAATACACAGGCACAATCAAGATCACGTAGTGGAAGTAAACGGCGGCGAACACAAAGCCTACGAGGAACGGATACTGTTCATGAAATTCCTTCCCGACTTCAGAAGTGATAAATACAAATAACAACTCATTAATTTTTAAGTTATGAACATGATAATTAGACAAAATTAATGTTAAGTACTTAAAGTAGGAGTCTTGGGAGTTTCCGGGTAAAAAATTTGACGACAGTTAAGTTAAAAATTACACCGGGTCCCACTAAAGGACAAAGGCCATGTTGTGAAATCGGCAAGTATACCGTTCGTTTCAAGTAATAAAGTGATAAGTGTAACAGCCCGTTACATACCGGTAATGTTATCATTGCATATGGTATTAAGCGCAGTTACAATCACAGTAATTGAGTTAATTAAATTACGGGTAAACTTTTTCTTTTATTACGTTCCTTTCTTTAAACATCAACCCTTTCCGTAATCAATTAAAACAACGCCATAATTGTAAATGCGAAACTCGCGGAAGCATAAAACATACCAAATATAATCTCTCTAAGAAATACCATTTATTTAGTCTTTAGAAAACACATTTTTCAAATTTAACACAGTGGTAATCGATTACCAACTTGAGGTAATCGATTACCAAAGGTTACTGTAGAAGTCAGAACCTTAATTTAGGCTCCCCTGTTTTCTGGTAATCGATTACCAGATATTGGTAATCGATTACTGAACTAGGTAATCGATTACCAATGCTCTGGTAATCGATTACTTTGAAGACAAAAGCTCAATTTTTCGTTCCCTGTTGCAGGTAATCGATTACCAGTGAAAAGTAATCAATTACTATGCAGCAAAAATGACAGATGACAGCTTTTAAGACCCAAAATGAGTGGTCTAACCTACTCTTAACACATTGCTACTTCATGTACACTTTACACATGTCCTAATGTAGGCTCTAAGCCCTTCCATCATGCATATTCATTAATCAATGCATCATTACAACCATTTGCAATATCATAGCCATTTTACACAATCAATGGTCTATTTACAACTCAAGTCTTCCAATGCCTCAAAATACAAATATGTGGCCATGGACAAGTCCCATGCTCACTCAAAATACAAAATAACAAGAGGCATAACCATACATCAATTTTTAAGGACTTAACATATAGTCATAAATATACAAAAGCATGGCAATATTCACATGCAACAAGTTCATATCCTAAGTCCAAAATATCACATACTCCACTATGTACATCAAAAGGAATCCTTCAATATGTCATGCTCTCTAATGCACCTCACGCTCTACTCTTCCACTAAGCGGGCCTCTTGCCCGGAGATCCACCATGCTCAGCAAACCTGAAATGATGTCCCCAAACGCGGGGTGAGATATACAAATATATCTCAGTAAACCAAGGGTACTAGAGGATCACTCCACCCCATGGCTCACTCAATGTGCATACAATGATCATCATATAAAATGCATAACATACAATTATCACACAACAACAACAACTGGGCACAAATCCAAGGACATCCACATCAGGATTCCCTTAAAGGACCCCATCGTATAACTCCCGAAATCTTCCTGGTGCCTCTCCCATGGTTGAGACGACCCCATGGCAAAACCCAATTGGAACTCCTCATGAGACCTATCCAGCGGAAGTCCCACGTTTGGATCACCCTGGTACCGTTCCCAGAGTCGGTTCCACGGCAAAACCCGACCGGAATCCCCAAAGGATATCTCCAGCAGATGTCCAAACCAACACACATCTACTGGCCAGAGATCACAATTATTTCACACAACATGCTCCAAGCATGTCACACAATCATGTCAATAATGCATGAACATACATTTACATATAATCAAAGGCATCAAATCAAACCACGACCTTCCACTAGGTGTGGTGGAACACACGAGCGAATAAAACCCAAGTTCCAAAGGTTTACCTCATTCCGAAGCCAATGCTCCTCAACGTAAGCTCCAAGCTTAATTCTCCTCTATTGAGTCTGAGAGAGGAAA